AGCCCTCACGCGCGCGACCCGGCGTTTCAATCTCTTGAGCACCTTCAGGTAGAAGGCTGAGTTGACAGTTTCTCCCTGCGGTACAAACTCAAAATGGACGATTCCTCGGACGTCAAAAAAGACAATGAGCATCGTTTTGATGCGAGACTTGCTCATTCGCGCTTTCTTGGGGCGGGGGGCTGATTTTGAGTGCCACTCGCTGCTCTGCCTTTTCGATTCTGGGTCGTACTCGAACATCCAAGATTCGTCTCCGGTTACGACAGAGTTAAGAAAGTCCGGCTCATTTTGAATCAAATTCTTGACAGCGCGAAATTCGAGGTTCTTTCTGGTCTTCCGTCAACACTTTCGGCACAAGCTTCGCGCAGACCTTGCGTATTTGCAGATTCTTCGTCACTATCCCATGTACCGCAAATGTGGACATGTTTAGGGTGTCAGCGATGTACTGGATGTTCAATCGACGGTCGGAACGCAAAACTTCGTACACACGATTCACGTTTTCGTCGGTTCTGGCCGTTGTTGGGCGTCCAGAACGGGGTTCGTCGGCGACCTCCTCCCGGCCCTCCTTGAACGCCTTGTGCCATCTCCCGGACTGTGACCTTGAAATACAGTCGTCCTTGAAGGCCTCTTGAAGCATCTGGAATGTTTCGGTTGCATTCTTTCCAAGTCGCACGCAAAACTTGATGGCGTATCGTTGTTCAAGCGAACGCTCCATCGCGCCGTGTTACAAAGTCGTAAAACACACTTCACGCGGAGGCACGTCTTTCCACTAAGACTGCTCGGAGCAAACTGGTGACCGGCTGTCTTGGAAGGGCAGACCCCCACCACATTTCCCGACCCATTTTACCCCGCTGCGATGGATATTCGCGTCACAATAAAATCATGCGCATTACTTTCATAATGGACCCTGTATGTACACATAAAATTTAATTGCAATATTTTGTATAAATAAACATGGGGAATATCCGTATGAATACTTCAGCATAAATTACTTCTAGCTCTAATTTGTGTAGATATCTATACAAATTATAATACACACCCACGTACACACACACACACACACACACACACACACACACACATGCAATATTCTAATTTTGAGAAAAACAATTATTATATAGGGGATTTTAAATCTATAAAATATGCATATAACTAATATAAATCAAGACTAATAAGACAATATAGATATACAACGAAAAACTCACATATTCAAAAAGATTGTGTCACTCACAAATTGCCAAAGATGAAGTAATATAAAATTTCAGTAGATAGATTTGTATAAATGTAATTTTGTGATCAATTACTATTCTAATGATTCAATTACTATTTTGTATCAAAACTTCTTGACACGCGCTCTCTACTAAAATTATAGATAGAAGAAAATTATAGATAGAATTATAAATATCATTTATCAGAGGATACATAATTTGATTATTTTTTTTAAGATGTTACATTTGATCATCTGCGTTTGACTCTCATTAATTTTGATTTATGTTAGTTGATTTATGTTGTATGTATATTCTGATATTGAAAATATAAAAGCATATATCACTAATATCTGGTCATTTGACTATAAAAGACATATCTCTTTTTATTAAACGTAGAAAAGAGAGGTAAGCCTTGGACGTAAGGAAAAATATTATTACATATATATACTGCCAATACCGAAAATCTAATATACATAACGTAAACTATGGATTTTTATTACTAACTGTGTACTGAAGTATTAATCATTAGCCATTACTCATTTACTAAAACATTTTGAATATGATATACTTATATACATTTCATAAACGTATAGCATCATATGAAAATTATGCATATAACTATTGACCATGTAATGTATGTTATATATATGTATAACATATATATTATATAGAGTGTCTAAAAAGACCTCTTATGAGTTGAACATAAAGATGACAACTAATCGTGAAGGAATGTGAATTGTACTTGTATCGGCATACTTAGTACGCGAAAATGTAGTGCGTTGACCTATGATTATGATTCACGTTCTATGACTCAATTATGGCCATCCTTGTGCTAAGGCCTTTACATAACGTTTTTGGAAGAAACGCTTCAGACAAAAGTTGTAAGATTTCAAAGAAGCTATTTACTGATATTCAGTTCGACCTTGGGTGACAAGGCCATTCAATCTGCAGGATCAGATCAAGGTCATATTCATGTTTTTTTAATGAAACATGCTATTTTTATTGTAGACTCTAATACACAGTTATTGTTGATATGTTGAGTTATACGAGGATATAAGTACGAAAAGTTCTCGATCTAATATAGAAATGATCCCACAAATATCAAATTGCTATAATTTTAGAAAAGTTTAATCCTTCTCAGGATTCTTACTGTTAAAATTTCAGACAGATGTGTTTATTAGTTTCTTTATTTCGGTCATGTCAAGCAATTAGTTTTTGATTCCGTCATGACAATGCATCCATTCACATTTCTTCAATGCAGACGCAAAATTCTACAAATTGGTTCAGCAATCGTATTTCACCAGATTTGATAATCGAAATGCCTCTGACAGTAAATTAAAAATAATCAGCTCACGATTAACACCTCTGATATTTATCTATAAGCAGTCAAAGCACGATTTATGGCTGTGGCATTTTGTTAACTCGCCAGCTCACGATAACGTCTCTGACATTTATCTATAACTAGCCAAAGTACGATTTATTGTTATAACATTTAACCATATCTCTTATATGATAAATAAAAGTGATATTTTCAGGAATGATATAAAGATACTAACCTTCCCCATTCTGGCTTTATAGGGTGCTTTTCAACAAGAAACACATATGACAGTAACCTTTTAATCAATTTTGGCTTTATAGAGTGCCTTCCAATAAAAGATACAGTATGATACGATATGACATAGTGCATCATTACAGTCTTGTTCATCAATACAAGCACGAGATAATCACTGTGTTGTACTGAGTGAGTCACTTGTTAGAAAGAACTCATAATCTTCTCTTATCAAAAATATATATATATATATACACACACAAATATGGATGTGTGTAGAATATTACTACACTACACTAAATTGACAGTACTGTTATGCGGCAACAATGCTGTGAACGCGGGTCATACTGGTTACAGCTGATTGACTCGTATAACGCTGTTGTTTTCTATGCATATAGCGTCACGCAAAACGGTATATGTATGCATATACATATACACACATACATACAAAAAATTTTCACTTTTCACGTTTTCACCCTAGGAAAAAAGATACATAATCTTTATCATGGTCACATTATCTTCTTTGTAGCGACTAATTAAGAAAAGGCGTTCATCGTATCTGGATCCATGATATTGTAAAAACTCTCTATTATCTTTGAAGTTCTATTATCGATACGTCATTCTCCAAGTTTATTCCACTAAAAAAAATACAAACAGATGACCTGATATATGACGTGATAAAGTAAAATTCTATATTACATTCTGTGGCACAAAAGCGTGATCAGTAGCTCTTTGAAAGAAACCGAATGTATCATAAAAATAATAAAGTAATATTTTAAAAGTACATTACATTCAGTAAAATGCATTTACTTATTAATATTATGCTCAATCACCATTATTAAGAAAATAACAATTATGTAGGAAGGAAAATATTTTCATGATAATTTACTGGAAGATATAGTCGCAGCATTATCTTTACTTAATTAAATAAATTAGAAAAAATGGAACAATGTGATGTGGTATACAGAATAGGCTGTCTGGATTGCGACTCCTCTTATGTTGGTCAAACAAAAAGGAAAGTCATAAAAACGCGAATCAAAGAACATAAAACGAATATAAAAAAATCAAAACTCTGATCATATTATCACAGCATCAGATCGATTATGGTCACAAAATAAATTGAGATAACGTTCAGGTGTTAGACATAAAACCATGTTTTCAAAAAGAATGACGTCGAAATGATATTTATCAAAAAACAAATTAAGGATCTGAATTTGCAGAGTGATACGGAAAAATTACCAGAGATATATTTTCCTGTGCTTAGCATAATTCTCCACACACAATCCCTCTCTTTTATTACATGTTAGATATATAGCTGTGTATCATGATAAGAAATTGGCACAACATTGTAACGAATACTTTATTACAAGTCATCCACTCTCGATATCGTTCCACACAGTTTGAACCACAGATTGTAACACAGGTACTAAAAAAATTTTTATATTTTATAACTCGAAACACGATTTAAAAACATTCAATTAACCAAAGAATATTATAATCTCTAGAATCTGAAAATTTTGCGTTCAATGTAACAACTAAATAAGAACATTTGGACTACCTGATTTCTTATAATAAAAAGATTGCCTTTGGATATGATAATTTTAATCTATTCGGACTAACATCAATTACTTGCTAATTAAGAATAAACCAATTATTAAATAACGAGCAGTTTCACGTTACAAGTAGACATGTCATATGACTATACACGTAGACAAATTGTTGTTTTGCGTAAATATTTTATAATTATTATATACTGAAGATGGCCTAATGTAAGGTCGAAACGTTTATACTATATATTTAATTATGTGAAATTAGAATGTAATGTTATATAATTAAATACCAGCTTGATCAAAAAGTTTCCGGAAGAGACCACCAGGTGATGCTCTGAGTCAGCTGATTTAAATTCTTTTTTTTAGCTAGGTTGCCACATCTATCATTGACATTTCCATCAAATTTTGTCGCCATAGCTTGACATTTGTAAAAATTACGCCGTCTTGAGTACATCTACCTCTGCGCGTGTTTTCGATTTTTTACAGTTTTAAAAATGGAGTTGAATTTGCAACAACGAGTTTGTATTAAATTTTGCGTTAAAAATGGATTCAATGGTGCGAAAACCTTGGAAATGTTGGGAAACTGTTTCGGCAGTGATGTTCTAAAGAAAACAACCGTTTACGAGTGGCATGAACGCTTCAGAAGTGGTCGTGAATCCATTGAGGATAACGAACGCAGTAGCAGGCCGTCGACATCGAAAACCGACGAAAACATCAATAAAGTGAGAGAAATGTTGGCCAATAACCGCAAATTAACTATCAGAGAGCTGGCAGAGGACTTAAACATTGCTTATGGATCCGTTCAGGACATTGTAGTTAATGATTTGGGTTTGCGCCGTGTTGTTGCAAAGTTGGTCCCGAAGGAACTGAATTTCATGCAAAAAAGGGACCGCGTTGACATCGCCAAAGACATGATTTCCAAGACTGAATCCGACCCAACATTCATCAAACGCATCATTACTGGAGACGAGACGTGGGTTTATGAGTACGACACGCAATCCAGACATCAGAATGGAGAACTCCAAATGAGCCAAGACCAAAAAAACCACGTCGTTTTCAGTCGAAAAAGAAAGCGATGCTTACAGTTTTCATGGATTACAACGGTATTGTACATCACGAATTTTTGTCAGAAGGTCAGACAGTTAATAAGGAGTATTATTTGGGCGTTATGAGACGTTTGCGTGAAGCAATTCGCCAAAAAAGAAAGGATTTGTGGATAAACAACTCGTGGATTTTGCACCATGATAATGCACTGTCGCACAGTGCTATCATTATCCGTGAATTTTTGGTCAAGAACAAAAAGAATACCATCCAACAGCCATCGAATTCACCCGATATGGCTCCCTGCGATTTTTTTCTGTTCGATCGAGTCAAAAAACCACTGCGGGGAACGCGTTTTAACAACCGA